ATACATGTCCTCGTCTGCAACGTAGGACACAAAACATATGTTTTGTTATCTCGATTTCCGCTGTTATTTTGAAGCGAATGGTCAAAATCACATCCATTTTCGGCTCATACAGGTTCTTAAGAATAGCGTGACATGACATTTTCTCACTTTCACATCACCTTCTAGCAAGCTGGAATTTGTATATCCCACGTGTTGCGGAGTCAAAGAGCAAATACTCATCTTCTCGTCAGGTTTAACACCTGGACGAGTCAAACGCTCTTGAATTGAAATCCAATCCCCAAGTTAACCATCGTACTCATCTGACAGACTCCTTCGTGTCTCAAATTTGGTAAGACCTCTAACCATGCTGTAGAAAATTTGCTACAAAGAAAACTCTGAGTCTGGGCAGCGAACGATGCAAACTTCCCCGTGTTCGTGGCGCAATGCACTCTGGTTAAATGCAATGCATTGTGGTAAAAAGTGATGAATTCGAGAATTCCTCACCCCTTATATATTTCCCTTAAATCCTGATTATGTTGCTGCTCGCTCCCTACGGTCGCTCCGCAGCAATTACGATGGGACCCGTCCAAAAATTGCACCGGCGCGCTTCCCGCCAGACTTTTAGCCACTTCCTTCGATTTTTAGTGGTGTTCACTTCACTCGGTTAATTCTTCTGCCCCTAGTAATAGCCATTATTGGTTGTGACTATTAATTTTCTTTTATCTGTCTTTACTACCTTGACGTTGTCACGTTCGCTATTGGTTCTTCAAGACGAAGCAACATCTCGAGCTTCGAAGGCCAGTTTAACCTCCTCTGTCATGGATGGGTCATGAAGGATTCTTGAAGGATCTATGCCGAATCGATTCCCACATCTAGTACCTTATTCACTCGCCCTTAAGTTGATTTTCATCTGCGAAAGATTTAGCCCGTACTGCTCGAGAGTTGCGTACAACTGAAACTGAAAAAAAAAATGATGACTCGGACTAGAACCAAAAATAACAAAAAAAGGCCAGATGAAACGTAGATCCTGAGTGTGTGGCCAGTCTAAAGTGTCTAAGCTACGGTGGTATTTAAGAAGAGGTATTACATTTTTGTGCATTGGATGTTTTTAGCAAATGCCTAATAGGATAGAACAAGGTAGAAAATCCCAGTTCTTTAAGACTTAGTTCCCAATATTTTCACCTGGTCAAGGAAGTTTCCAACATTATGAGCTAAATCAAAGGCCGTACCGGAACAAAACGGTTCCCATCGAGGAATTCATCAAAATCATGAGGCATTTACCATCTAATCGGTGTCGGCGCCGTATTAAAGTAGGGGGTTTTTTAACGTTTATCTTGTCAACGATGTTTTGCATTCTAAGGAACGTTACTAGTACCGATAATATTTTCAAGATCTCTCAATTGCCACTTTTCGGCCACAAATTTGAAGAATTAGTTATTTAAACTTCTTGTGGCTCATGCCAAAGGTGTGATAATTATAGAAAGTCAAAAGAGTTGTATTTACTTTTTGAAATTCAGAGACCGCTTTTATATGATGCCGATCAGTTTGAGCTTGATGAACAGCATACTCTCCCAGACGACAAATTAACACTTGAGTGTAAACTCGAGCCACGAGATGACGCATCAATTTTTGTTTGGCACATGTAAAGTTTACATTGATAGGTGAAATACAGAACCGTCCCGGAAGAACCATAAATAACATTTTATGAGATATAACGATTGCTTTAAAAGTCATTCACGCATAACAGACAATCAGTATATCAATACATACATGACATTTCAAATTGTTAGAATTCACAAGATCATCTTTTTAAAGCTAAATAAGCCTAATCGGTCTAGACACGTGCACCACAGACGTTGTCCTCCTCCCGACTCTTGATTTTTAGTGAGATCGCGATATGCTATATCGTTTTTACTCAAAATGAACCTTTGTCAATTGTTGGAATTAGAAAGGGGGCCGACAGAAAATTTGATTCCATGGCTTCAAGGTAGAGCTCTATTAGCTAACCCTCTCCGTTGTCGACAGTGCAATCAAGACATGGTGCTCAATGAAAGAGGCGATCAGCACATCGATGGCTTTCGCTGGTGAGTTTTCGATCCTTTTCTCTTTGTAGCAATCGTGACTCTCGCCTGTTTCCTTCAGTTTTCTGCATTCTCTGTTACAAAAAGAAGTGAGACTTTAGATTGTCAAAAAGTAGGATAATGCCTCACTCAATGGGCAGATCGCTGCAACCTTCAAGTCGATGTGAAAAGTTTGCCTAGCCAATGCAACAGGTGTTATCTTTGATTTGATTAATTCGTATACTATTCAATCGAACCGAGACGAAGAGCTAGCACAGTGAAGTAGAAGGAAAAGTTAGTTGAATTATCGTTTTCCACAGCATCTGCCGATGGAAATCTCACAAGAAAATCTTATGCCTGAAGGTAAAGGGGTGAAAATAAGTAAAGAGACTACCTCATGCCTACTTTGGATTTCAAGTCCATAACACCAAATCGAGACAAACAATTCATGGTCAAGCATAAAGATCTTTGACTCGGGCAAAGCTGCTGTGGCGTACCAAACCACTGATGGATATTTTGGCGTATTATTCCAGTCTGCAAGTTTTCATGAGTTACCACTCTAGAACGCTCAAAAAAACTTCCATGCAACACCAAAGGTCAACTTTATTTTTCACTAAGTATATAAACCCACTGAAAGTTTCCTTTTCCAGTTAGGGATTTCCACCTGCTACTTGATTTCACGAGATTTCAGAAGTTGCATGCTGCTGGTGCAAAAGGTGTTGGTACAATTCCTTGGCGATTGGTTGATCCGTAATTGTCGCAATAGGGCAGGTCCTTTGTTTCCCAGTGGTTTCCAAGAGGATACTAAGAGAGTTTAAAACAAATTCCAAAAAATGAATTTGTGTTCAAATGAAAAATTCTTTTGCAAAGGTTCACAGTGGAAAATTCTATTCGGGTCCAACTGGAAAATATGGGACCCGGGGCGCTTTCCATTTAACAAAAATTCTGGTTTGAAATTTTGGAAACTTCACATGCTCAATGGAACGGTACATTCCGGTTGCACAGACCCGACCCAAGCCACCGCGTGTTTTGTTATTGTGGCTTCGCAGCACACTCATAATTACGCTCTAAAAGAGAAAAGTAAATACTGTTTGTATCCTAAAGAACACTTGACTGTCGAAAAGGGGTGGTGGAAAACTATAAGGCGGAGGAATCCTATTTCGTGTAGAAAGCCTATGAACGGAAGTGAAGAAAACGATACACATCCCGAAATATATCGGTCCCGACTACAAATTGGACCCGATTTGTTATCGTGTTCGATTAAACGAAATCGGGTCCGAGTTAATATTCGGGTCCGATTGAAAAAAATTGGACCCGACTACCCAGAAACCGGTAAACATCCAATTTAAGAGACTTGCTGGCGAATTGCTGCTGTTTATCTCGTGCATTAGACTATAGTTTTA